TACAAAATTTTTAATTCTAATTGACTATTAATATTTCTGTTAATGGCTCATTGATTTTTCATTTATTTCATCAATTCATTTAGTAACTCAGTTAGTTTCTGTAGTCAACAAAAAAATTAATCCCCGATTAATAACCTCTTGTTAATTCATGATAATGAAATCTAGTGAAAGCACAATTTTTTGTCTTAACATTAAAATAGATTCAGTGGTTGAGATCATGAGTCAATTGAAGCTAAATCACCATGGAAAACCTGAAAGCTCTGGACGGCCATTTCGTTCTATTGTGCGCATCTATGATCCCGCCTTGCAAGATTCGAACCCAGGACCGATTAGTCTCGCACGCGAGCGATTAACCACTTAACAACTGAGCCGCATCCAGCGGTGTTAATGTCTAACTTCAACTAATCCTCGAAAGTGAGCAACACATTCACCAGTGTCTTCAGTGAGTTACTATCTTACAACAGACCTGGTTCAACTCCACTGGTCGCTGCTTTTCACTAGAACTCCAGGAAATACCTCTTGAAGTCAGTCACTAGTGTCGATAAATATCAGGTGTTTTTATGTGTATTATAGTAATTTCAATAGTTAAGATCATGAGTCAATTGAAGCTGGATTATCTTAGTAAAATATTTCTTAATCTGGTGTATTAATTTAATACATTAAGAACTTTACAAATGGTATTTATATTCTGACTACTTTTAAGTAGGCAATTAATATAAGAAAAGTTAAGTCATAGATTAAAGTGTTTTCTACAATGGTTATTAATTTGAAAGCGTTTTAAATATATAACAATATATTTTTATATCATAAAAGAAAATTAAATCCATAACATTATCAGTAAATTGCGAGGAATTCTTGTCATATTCTAGACAGAATTAATATGAATATACTAAATTGTATGCAACATTCATTGGCCGGATATCATCAGTAACAGCCTACGGTAAGAGAGAACAAACCTTCTTCCAGCTGAAGGGGAAATTGGTAAACGACGATGGAGTTGGTGGATAGGACATACATTACGGAAATCACCAAACTGCATCACGAGGCCAGCCCTAACTTGGAATTCTGAAGGGAAGCGGAAAAGTAGAAGGCCAAAGAACACATTACGTCGGAAAATAGAAGCAGATATGAAAAGAATGAATAACATCTGAAAAGAGCTGTTAAGGATTGGATGGATGAACAGGGTTGGATGGCGAATGCTGGTGAGCGGCCTGTGCTCCTTCACGAGGAGTAATATGCGTAAGTAAGTAAACTGTATGTAAAACAAGATGTTAATATTATTAGCTTTATTCTATATTATATTTTTTCCCATAATATAGAATTCTCAGCACAAAGTATTTCAACACGTTTCCGTTTCTTATGACTTAGTTGATCCTGACGATAACATAATGAGTGATCACCAATTAGAACTTAGTAGTCCAGTCAATCGACATCTAACTAATGTACATTCTTTTCCATACATATTTCCAGCAACCACGATATCTCTGATTGGGTTTTTTTGTAACTTGAACATCGAAAGATTGTACACTTTTCAGAAACGCACTTAAATAGTTTATGCGATTAGTAGCCATATTGATGTATTAAAACATAAAAACATAAATAACTTGGTAAAATATCTAGATGGTAAGAACAGGTTGGTTAAATGTTCAAGCAGACTGCTTGTTTTATTGGTCTGTTAGTCAGATATTTACATAAGTAATTTAGTCAATAATACAAATGTATGACTTTTAAGGTATGTATCAAATGTCTGATAATTATAGCAGTTATGAAGAGAGCAAATAAATAAGTACGAGAAATATTGTATTCAAAATTTTATTTTAATGGTGAAACTAAATACTTTAAATTCTATGTATTTTAAGAATTCACATGTGTAGTCTTCATTTTACGAAGGTAATAAAATGGAATTTCTGTGATATAATCAAATATCTATAATGCTAACTGGTAATGTAAATGTAGAAACATTACCATAAATAATTGAAAGAAAATATTCCTTTTTCAATGTAATAAAAACTTCAGCATTAACCGAAAAAGTTTCATGAAAGTTCTGTATTTAATATAAGTTTGAATTTCTGTAAAGTAAAAGACATATAGTTTTAATGGATTGAAATGGGATTTCATCTCGAATTGAACCGTTGTAAACCAAGGTTTATGAGATAGCTGCTTCGTGACAATATGATATCCTTCAGTATTGACCATCCAAGACTCAAATAGCAGTGGAAAACAAGATATTCACAAGGTTGACATTAAATAGCTATTACGTCTTGATCAACAATCTTGGTCCAGTTTTTTTAAATAGGAATAATGAGATTCAAACCTAGTGAAGATAACAAAAGATAAAAAAACAACTCTGTCATAGTTATTCAATAAAGTCGATAGTGTAATAAGACGAAGACTATCAAAACTACATGATGATATATTAGCGCAATACAATCTGATCACATATATACTTGTTAAGAACATTTATACATAAAAATGAATGGTTAACCAGATTGACGTCTCGTGACCATGTTTTGGTTATTTATTCTCTGAAGAGGCGGCTCACAGTGAGCCACGAAACGTCAGAAAATTTAGTTTTTCTATTCACTGGGATATTACAAATACAATAATTTATTTAAAACAATCTACCCACTGCTCGATTTATTCGAAATTATCATGTCAAACCTTGGTAATGATACCTACATTAAGGTACACGTTCATACACTGATTTTTAGATCACGACTACTTCTCCCTATGTATGTGTGACTATACACACATTTAAATTGGTAAACGCAGCGGAATTTGACGCAATAGTTTTATTATCTTTTAGGTTTTTGATGAGGCATGAACCCTGTTGTTTACTTGATAATTACTTTTGCCGCAAAATATGTTTTGTTAATGACTGATTTAAGCCTTTGCTTCAATGAAAGACAATTTGAATCACCTTTAAATGGTAAGGTGTAGTAGACCGGCTTTTTTTTCAAGGCTATAGTAGGTCTTACTGTACCATGAACTGTGCATCTATTTATGAATTTAAGGGGATAGCCGTTTTGCATTAATGTTTTATTTAGCAACCTAACATTGTCATCAATGGCGTCATTTGTTTAAATACCATCAAGCCTTTTGATGGAGTTTTTTCCTCTGAGCTGGATGGTTTGGTCGTGGAGCTTTCATTATTCTTCTGAACGACATCATCAACACAAACGTCAGATAGAAGTGAAGTGTTCGAATTTCTCCATATGCATTTCACAGCTTGTTCTGTACATCTTGACGTTGGTTGGTTCTTATTGACCGATCAAGCCTGCTAATTAGGCACCTGATTGATTTAATTTTTGTTTCTATGTTTGTGCGTAATTTTCCTGAACCAATCAAAATCGAGGTGTACAGGACAAGCTGTGAAACACATCTGGAGAAATACGAACGCTCCACTTCTATCTGAAGTTTGTGCTGATGATGTCGTTCAGAAGAACGACGAAAGCTGCACGACCAAACCATTCAGCTCAGAGAACAAAACTCCATCAAAAAAGCAACACTGATATTGAACTTTTTTGTGAAAACAAAGACTGTATAGTTTTTATCATAAATTGAATAGATGCAAGACAAGGTTTTCTTGGAACTTTTTAAATTCTATGTTAAGAATTATTTGTCACCTAACAAATGGTCACTGATTAAGGCGATTTTTATGTGAATTTCTGAATACCGAACTGACATTGACTAGATAACCAATAGAACTAAGATGTACCGGACAGCTACTTTGTTCTATAATAGAACTCCATGTGAGCTCAAACTCTGATCTTTAGGCCCTATGGCAAACACTTAAACTTCAGGACTATGGTTTGACATTCCGTGGTCCATATTTTAAACTTTAAATCTAACAATCTTCACATCACTCAAAATTAACAGTCATCACATAATCGTTCGTGACCGATTTCGAAATGTAATACTGGGATTTCTAGTGGAATATCAGAACATTGGAGTTGAAACACGTTATTTATGAGACAAATATGCAGTTCTATTCAATAACAGATGCGCAGTATTAAGAATTATTCCGTTATAATACAAAAGTTTAATAAACCCATAAACCACTAAAAATGTAAAATTAACGCAGTTTTCTTTCTTCCACAATGTTAAGTTTCAGTATTTTCGGTTATGAATAATATGCTCTGTTTCTTTCAACATGATTTTCCTATTTTGATTGCTATAAACCTTTCCTTTGAGTAATACAAAACCTTCAGGGAAAGAATATTAGGTATGTTGGATACATTATACTCCCCTCTTATATTAAATTTACTAAATATGTATAATTGAATGAGATATTGTTGTGATAAACTTTGATGTCTTATTTCATCATCAAAATACATCAATGAGATTATGATAGAAATTAAGTTTATCCGTTTGGCTTGATTTTACGAGTCATGATTGTTGTGAGATACTTTTTTAAAATGATACATATGGAGAGGTAATTAAAAAGGAACATATGTGACGTAACTGTTAGCCTTCATTGTTCATAACTATATTCCACATGAAGTTAAGTTTGAAACACTAGTTAGTTTCAGAGTGGTATACTCAATCTATGTTTATTGTGTCCAACTATCCAAAGCTTTACTTGGTTTACATTGTTATTTCATGACTGTTGAATTGATTTCATTTTATTTCAGTAGGATTATTTCAGAATAACCTAAGCCTAATAGTGGAAATTTTTTGACATACTATTAAGAATATAATGTAGGTGTTTATTCTGGCAAAAAGAAATAAAACGTGGTTTGAATGCTTTCCTGATATTGTAACTGTGAACACATGCATGTGGTTTTATCAATACAAGTGAAAATAATGTACATCATGTGAACATTCATATAAACAATGAAACGTACATGAATATTCATATGTATAATTTCCAGCTTAGGTGGTTTATGCATACGCATACGTTGACGCAATACAATTTACCATTATGCATACATACACATTAATCATATGGGTTATAAAAAAATATCGTTGTTATAACGTATGAATTAAGAATGTAAGATGTATTGTTTACAAATCCAGTAAATAATTAATGTGAATTATTTCTAAGTAAGATGTATATTTGTGTGTGCTCAGAGTAATTACTATCGATAAGTTTATATATATATTGATGTAATTTCTTTAATTCTTTGACAATTCATGTAGCTTGTTGAAATAAGACTAGACTAATTTATTGTAAAGTTGTATATAATTGAAGAGCGTAATAAAAGAATAATATAATTATTGATTTCTTGGATTGTTTTCCCATGGATATTTTAACAGATACATTACATCCACTACATAGGAGATACCCTGAGATAAATTTATTTTTCATCAAAATAAAATCCATGGTTTCTCATTGATAAACTAAAATTTCCTTTGATGGATACCTATATAATTGTCCTCAGTACAATTATATGTATTATATTTCTATTTTATGCATGTAACAATTATAAGCAATGACATCTAGTTCATCTCCAATGCACAATAATTGTAATAGCAGTTTTAATGATAGCGGCTCTATCAACGGGATTTTGTGTAGAACCGGAAGTCTTGGATTTATTGATGAAGTGCTACGTTACTCTGGCACTAAACAATATATATTCTTACAAGTTCATGTTTGTGCAATTCACCAAGTGATTGTAGGAGATATATCAGATTTTCATGAAGCAGATGCTTTGAGCTATATTGATAGATATTATAAAAAAAGAAGAGCTCATTGTACTGCAGCTTTACTAGAAGATCGAATTTGTTTACGACGTGTTAAACAGTCAGGAAAAATGCCATTTCATCCATGGATTGTATATAATGAAATAAAGTATGCATTCATAAGCCGGAAACGACCTGAATACTTTGTCTTGTGTATCGATTCAAATCATGACCGGAGAAAATACTATGAAATATATAAATGTAAATCAGCTGATGATGTTAAACAAATTGAAGAGAAGATAAAAGAAGCAATGAGGGATCCTGATAAGTTACTACGTAAAATGCATATTTTAAGCCGTATTATTTTACCTCCTGGAAATAATGTAAATCAAAAAGAGTTGGTTCCGAAAATTATGGTAGAAGATGTAAGTAAATTAAATGGTGATGAAGATAATAAAAATATTTATAGTAATATTCATAATAATAATAATCGTAATAATAATAATAATAATCGTAATAATAATAGTAATAATAATAATGGTGGTGGTGGTAGTAGCAGTAATGATAATAAAAGTGGTAGTGCTGACAATGAAATTAATGTCAAGAAACACAAAAAATCTACTAGTTCCTTAAGCCCTGTCACACCAATGAAAGACTTAACTCTTGAATCATTGAATGAAAATTATGTTGTATCTAGTCTTTCAATCACTCCTATCGAATTTCTTCATCATTCACCTGAATCATTAATTTATCAAATAAAACAAAGTGTATACGAACCATCTCAGAATACACATTCACTGTCCCATTCTATATCATCAGAAAGTGGAGATATTCATCTTGAAACTCGAATTAATGATATAATAGATAAAATAACATTTATTAATCATGATCCACTAAAAGGATTATATGAAAGTCAAAATGGAAATTTTTATATGTTTCTAGACCGTCAAGAATTTCATTTGAATAAATTCATTGATAGAGAAGAGAGTTCTATCGTATCTAATCATAAAGAATGAAAACTTAACATTATCACTTATTATCAAAGAATTATAAATATATTTCTTATTACTTCTTCTTCTTCTTCTTATGTTCATGACAATCATTACAATAGTATTTTCTTCATGATTAATATGTTCTGTTATAATGTTCATTGATACAATACTGACCTATCCTTTCATGAAGTATTTAAACTACATTGAAAATGATACAATTTGATAATAGAATGAATAAATCTTTAACATGATAAACATATGCTGAATAAACGAAGAGGTATTTAAGAAAAAAAGAAAAAAAAACAGTAAAAAGAATAATAAAAGTAAGATTTAGGATTTACTTTTATGATTGATTTTCATCAATTAGATAATGTCCTATCAACAACTTTAGCATTTCAATGTATATTAAACTATATTTTAGGATACATCCATATTTTTATTGAGAGAAATGTAATATATATATATATATATATTGTGAATCATTTTGATATTTTGTAATGAAAGTGAATTTTGTATTATTTCATTAGTTATTTGTATGTACTGATATTGTTTATATAAAGATTTATAAGTATAGAGTTATTAACATCATCCTTACTTACTTATTTACTTACACTTGTTACGCCTCACGGAGGGAGGAGCATAGGTCGTTTACCAGCATTCTCTATCCAACTCTATCCTGAGCATATTGGCATCATTTAGACAAATATTGTTTTCTAGTTAATCTACCAACATTTTATAATATAAATTTTATATATTAAATCAGTAAAAAGCTTGTGTTCGTTAGGTGATAATTCATATAATACAGGAGATCTTTGTGAAATGTTCAATTTCAATAACTGGATGCGTGGACGAATAGAATCGAAAATATTTTGTGGATGGGGTTTAAGAGAATTTGAGTTTGGATAAATATGGTTTCTTCGAAGAATTTTTCAGTAGTATTTAGGATATTTGTGCATTTTAACGCCATCCTTAAGAAAGGTTTATTAAAAAATTCCAAGGACCCTTCGACAGTAAAGAAACTTAATGAGTTTCTGCGTTATTTTGTCAAACTTGCGGAAGTGAATGCGAAGGTTAACTTTCTTACTACTGGAAAATTCTTCGAAGAAACCATATTTATCCAAACTCAAAATCTCTTAGACACCATGCACAAAATGTTTACGATTCTATTCGTCTACGCATCCGGTTATTGGAATTTAACTTTTCACAAAGATCTCCTGTATTATATGAATTATCACCTAACGAACACAAGCTTTCCACTGATTTAATGTCTTAATGGGTGTATTCCGTTTATTAAAAAGTTTTATATACACAAATAAACTTCCTAGTTTTGTTAATCAAGAAAAAGATATATCTAGAATTAACATGTTTGAATTGATTATATAAGATCAAAACAACAAGTAAATCCATAGTGTATAATTTAATAAGAATCATTAAAATATACCATAGATGATTTACCCTAAAAATAATTTTGTTAGAAGTAAAGTTGAAGTTTACGAAACTGCCTTCAGTGAATAGTCGGAATCCTAAAAGTCGTTTGATCACAATAAATAATCTTGTAATACTAACCATTAATGGTAATTGAGTCCAGATGTGATACGAATTTTCTGTCAAATCACTGTTAAATATCCTTCAAATCTTAATTTCATGTTAGGGTAGATACCTTATTAATGGACGTTTTGTCATTATTGCACATTACCGTAAAATAATTTAGCCTTTCTTACTATATGCTTCAGTATAATTTTCCGACACTATACCTACTTAAGACTCCGAGTAACAATGTACAAAAGTTTTGGATTACTAATATAAGTAAATGGAGAAAAGAAACACACAGAAACCAGTATTATATCTCATGTATTAGACCAAGATCACCTAACTAGAATCATAGAATAAGTTGATTACCTTGATTTTTCCAAGAGTTACTTGAATATTCTAAAACAAAGGATAGCAAATCAACAACTAAAATTTCAAAGGTAACACTTTTTATGATTACTAGCAACTGGAAATTTTATACTTTATTTATAAACAACTTAATATTATGGTTAAAAAATGTTTCCGGCCTAGCCTTTGTATCCGAGAGAGTAGTGTAATAAAAACCTATTTAAGCTGAAGATTATTTTCAATAAATATTTAAGCTTCTATATATTCTTATTCCTACCCATTTAATGATTGTCACTTTTCATTCTAGATCTGTCTCAATTATAACTTATGACTGTATAGACGATTACCTTGAAATTATGATTCTTAGTTATTATGCCCACGTTCCACTTAATTTAGGTAACTAGATTTTCAACAAAGAAAAATTACACTAATTGAAATCATGAGTCATTTGGAGCTAAAAAACCATGGGAAAACTAGAAGCACTGGACGGCCGTTTCGTCCTGGTATGGGACTCCTCAGCAGTGCGCATCCACGATCCCGCACCCCGCGAGATTCGAACCCAGGACCTATCAGTCTGTTGTGAAATATCAACTCACTGAAGACAATGGTGTACGGTGGCGCAACTTCGTGGATTGATTGAAGTTAGACATTAACACCATTGGATGCCGACTCAGTGGTCTAGTTGGTTAAGCGTCTGGTGCGAGATCGATGGGTCCTGAGTCCGAATCTCGCGGGGGCCGGGATCGTGGATGCGCATTGCTAAGGAGTCCCATACTAAGACGAAACGGCTGTCCAGTGCTTTCAGGTTTTCCATGGTTTTTCAGCTCTAAATGACTCATGATTTCAATTAGTGTAATTTTCTAAATTTCTAAAATCTCCACAAAACCCATTCTGATAAAAAAAAATAATCAAACCCACTCAATATGGTTGTTCGAACAAACTGTTTTGTTTACAGTAATTTTCTTTTTGAAACATTCATTTCGGCTTAAACATTTTTTTCATTTCTATTTAGATTATTCTTTGTAATTTTAGGCTGTTTGATAGCAATATCCTATTAGAACTTTACCTGCTTTTACTTTACGTTTAAATCATTAACAAGAGTCAACTGTCTTAAAAAATCGAAATAGTTTTGATAACCCTGAAACCATAAACTGTACTTTGTTTTTCTTAGTTGCAATCATACTTTTTGTGGATGTTGGCTATTCAATGATTATTAGAGAATGTTATATCTGTATTTTCTCAAACGTCCGTTGAAGCTTATCAATCAATTTCTAATGTAGTCATTGATCTAAATGATTCAGGATCTCTTATTCAATGTTATATCAGGCCTTCCAAGGTAGTCGATACTAAATAATAAATAAACATAACGATATTTGGTATTCAGTGAACAGTTAGTGTAAAAGATCACAATCCTTCAGAATGTCATCAACAGTATTAAAATCTCTGTGAAACTGTATTATACGTGTTTGAATCACATAAAATGTATTAGTTTCTTATTGATTACCTGATGTGATTTCGTGATAAGTATTAACTTGAACAAAACCTAGTTTTAAGGCTTTCACTTAAATATCTTTCAGTGTATCTGTACAGAAATTCGTTGGGTAGTTTAAAGTTAATAATATAATGTTCTTTTTAAGATTTTATATCTTCATCTAATAATCATGGCGTTCGTAGTATAAACATCTTACTATAAATTAATTGTCAATAAGCCCTGTTCTGTATTTAATTATATTGTATTAACTTTTTTTCTTTTAAGTTTATTACTTTCGAATAATTCTACTGTAATTTGAGTCGATATAAAATGACTGTTTATGAGAGAATTCTTATATGTTTAACCTGTTTCTTTGCACATTTTCACTTTATTAACTTTCACATTTCCTTTGATTGAATAATCATTGGAAAGTACATTTTGTTTTAAAATTGTTTTTTATGTGTAATTGAGATTATTGAAAGAATTTACTGAATAACATAGAGCATTGAATAACCTTTTTATAGTAGACTAAATCTATTCATCTTACAGTTTACATTTTCGAAATTATGTCATTTGATCAATACAAATTAAAAAGAAACAGACATTAATATTACCAGGGTTCGGTCTGTGTTGTAACGTGTGGACTGCAGATTTAGATAGCAGCGTCTTATCGATCGGATCAATGGCACGTAAACACGTAAGAACGACCTAGAGTCCAGATTGGCCCTGCTCCCCTGTCTAGCCCAGGCAGTCGAGTACAGAACGCAAGTCTCAGCCTCTGAGATATGAATCATTATGTTTCAAACATACTCTGTTTATATACCAATCAAGCAGACCACATCGTACCACAAAATAGAAAACAACATTTGTACAATATTTAACAAGTGAAATAAACATTGACCAATAGGGAATATCCATTTAAAGTACAAGGACACCATTATACTTAACATGATAATTATTGGTATATTTTTCCGAATATCCCCACAGTCTGATACTTTCACATAAGTAATAAAATGTAATACAATTAATGATATGTTTGTAATATCTCAATGAGAAGAAATTTAAATTTTTGTCGTTTCACAATTTAGTGTTAGACACTTCTTCAAGGTGAATATAAAATTTATTTACACCTTTGCTACACTATATTAATGTGTCTTCAACATAACTTCTAACTAATTTCTTTCATGTAAGTAATTTAAACCTATTTCATAATTTTGTTTTAAATATCATAAGTTGTAAGCAGCTGACAAAAACTAACAAAATAAAATGACTTCACGCTGTTCTGTTTGAATCGTTGTTCTCACTCTTTTCAATATGATAAAGGGATCTATGTGTATGAAAGTGAATATTATTTATTAACTGATTAACTCTGAATTAAAGCCCTACATTAAGTTGTGAAACGTCAAAATTTATCTTTCTATTCGTTGAGATACTGCAAACATATCACTAATTTTGTTAAACGTATAATTCAGTTTACAAATGGGGATCATTTATAATGAATAGGTAAATTAAAACAATGTGTTGTATTCCGCTTCGTCTTTGTCTTGCTAAAGTGAATCCAACTACTAACTATTTATTTATCGACAACAAAAACTAAAATTGTCAATGAGAATGATATACCAAAGCCCGTACAGTATAACTATTTTATATGCACATTGTTTTTTTAATTACATGTGATTTGACTAAGCTAGCATTGCAAATATAAATTATGTAACATGGTTATTGATTTTAGCCATTGGAACTTCAATGTTATATTACGTGAGATCAAGAAAACATAGGACAGTTACAATCTGTACTTAAATGTAACTAATCAACTAATGTATAGTTAATCTTTCTAATTAAAATCTTTCGAAACAAATGAAATCTTTCATAAATACTATAATTTTTACAGTTTTGTTTAATGAATGTGATTAATATATTGCAGTTGTATCATTATTTTTATCTTTGAAGGGATTATATTATATAATAATTGAATTCGTGAGTCCATTAAAGCTAAATCACTATGGAAAACCTGAAAGCACCGGATGGCCGTTCCGTCCTAGTGTTGAACTTCTTAATAATGCGCATCTACGATCCCGTTCTTGGGATTCGAACCCAGAACCTATTGGTTTGGCATGCGACAGCTTAACTTCTAGACCACTGGGCCGGTATCCAACGGTGTTAATGTACAGCTTCAAGAGGAATTTCCTGGAGTTCTAGTAAGAAGCTGTGACCATTTCAGCTCGACCGTATCTATTGGAAGATAGTAACTCACTGAAGACAATTTCGTGTATTATTGGACGTTAGACATTAAAACTATTGGATACCGTCTCAGTGGTCTGGAAGTTAAGCTTTCTAAGGCCAAACCGGTAGGTCCTGGTTTCGATTCTCAATAACGCACTACTAAGAAGTTCAACACTAGTACGGAACGGCCATCCGGTGCTTTCAGATTTTCTATGATGGTCTAGCTTTAATTGACTTACGAATTCAACTATTAATTTCTTACAATCTCCACAAAATCTTTTTCTGATTATATAATTATCATTTGATTTACTTCCATAATAGAATTAATTACATAAAATAGAAAAGAGATGACACTAATTAACATTACTAAACAACTATGGATCACGATTAACTTTGAATGGACTATTCAATTATGATTGAAGATTTATTTATGTATTCGAAAAAGAAATTTTTTTTCCATGTAATTTCAATGAAATGGTAATGACATTTTATCAAATATACTGAATTGTCTTTCAAATTTAATAATCTTTTATTTATTTATTACAATGTTAACATTGAACAAAATTTGAAAATTAAGTTTTACTCAATAATATCAATATGGTTAATTAAATTTCAAATAATTTTGTCTTTCTTTTTTATCTTTATTTTTTTGAATTTTTTTTTCTGGCTCATTGCCAAATGTACATACAGATATATATTACTTAAATGAGTATTGATTTCCAATGTGATCAAATAAATAAAAAAATGAAAAAGTTTATCAATAGTAAAAAGAACTTACTAGATATATTTAGACGAAATTGTATCATATATATACACTTACGATGATGTTTTCCTGTACATCATGAAGATATTATGAACTTATAAAGGAAAAAAATGTATACACTTAGTTATATTTATTATAAGACCTTACACTTTAAGCTGATCCAAAGTTTGCTTGATCATGAAATTAAACTTCGCATTGAATTAAATGGAAATTATTAATAAATATAACATGAGAGTATATTGCTGATCAATGATTGGTTGAAGTTAGACATTAACACCATTGGATGCCGGCTCAGTGGTCTAATGGTTAAGTGCTCGCGCGCGAAACCAGTAGGTCCTGGGTTTGAATCCTGCGAGGTGCGGTGTCGTGGGTGCGCACTGCTGAGGAGTCCCATACCAGGACGAAACGGCCGTTCAGTACTTCCAGGTTTTCCATGGTGGTCTAGCTTCAATTGACTCATGATTTCAACTTGTGAAAGATCAATGATTTGCTGTACATGTTATTTACATAAAAGATATATTTCACAAGTAAAAGCACCCAGTAGAATTGTGAATGATTTATCATTGTTAGAAAAATATTAAATCTTATATATAACTTTTGAAGTTAACCTTCTAAGTTTATTGTAAGGTATACATTCCTACTTTTATCTATTAAGAAATTAAATGTACATTGATAAATAAAATACTACTGGGCAATCAATATTAAATTTAACAAAAATGCTTTCCATTAAAAATGTTATGCTCACAATTTGTACGATCATTGTTTTCTGTGTCAATGCTGAATATCACATTTGGTCTGGTTTACTTATAGTTGACCGATATTATTATATCATTTTAATGAAAATAATATTGAACTGTAAGCAATGATGGATAGTGGCTAGCAGTGAAACCCAAAACGCGCGTTTCGTCCTATTTGGGACTCGTCGGCTGGATGTACCTGCATCTCAGAGTTGATGTTCACTCTGGGACTCGAACCCAGTACCATTCGCTTCAAAACTCCATCACGTTATCCATTCAGCTACTGAGTCCTTTTAGCCACTTGCTTGTGCAATGGGGTGAATTTAAATTCACAGATTGATCAATTGCAGTATTAAACCTCAATGGGAAGATACAAGCCAAACAATACCAAGTGAACTGAATATTGAACTGGCTAGTATTGTCACCATATGTATTTTATTGCAGAAACCAAAGTTATGAATGTTTTTGAAAATCCCAAAAACGTAAGGAAGTTTATCAATCTCATGATATACATATATATAGCAGAAAAAAAGTTTTCTTTTTGATGACTTTATTCAACAAAGCTGAACAATGGTTTCATTAGTGATTTATTAAAGAAAGCAGTTTGATGAAAAATAGCAAAAGAACTTTATAATTATATGTTTAAAGATATCAAGTAACATCGGACGTCACATAGTAAGCTTAAATAAAAATAATGTAAAGAAAATGAATTACGGTGTGCAGCGTTTGTAGTCACAATTTATGCTTGAGCTGTATAATTGGCAAATCGTAAGTAGTGTACTAGTTTGGACCGTTTGAGTTGACTCCTTCAGGTTTATCAGTTATTTTGAAAGACAATTTTGGTGAATCAATGTGACCTAAAATGATGTTATTCTTGTTTTTAGCTGTTTGACAGTCATTTCGTGTTCCAAGATACATTTACAAAACGTTCTCTTTGTGTGACCAGCGTAATCCACGTCAAAAGATCAAGTAGACTAACAAATTGAGCATAAAGTGGAAAACTATATTTAATATATTCATGAATGACAGGATTGATTGAGAAGTCGGTACGATGCTTCGCAGAATGGGTTTTTCAGTCTCTCGACATTTCTATAACCGTAGCCCCCTAAAACTTGATATTCAAGAAACGATATTTCTTTAGAAATCTCAGAGATCTGTCAGGTCATATTTTCAATCTGAGATCTTTACCCATGAACCTGGATATGATGTCAACAGAAAAACAAGGAAGCCATGGCAGACAACGTAAGCTATTTTTGAGACGTTATTTCAATTAACTCGAAGCTTGTAAAACGCTAACACTTATTTTTGTCCCTAGTTTATTCTACAGATTATAGGCTTTCGTTTGATGTATGATTCACTTCCGTACCCTTTTCTATTTCAAAACTACTGCATTTAGAACGTAACCTTTAGTGTTCTATTTTTCTACACAAATGCCTAGTTCTGAACGTCAAAGACTTTTCCAATCGTTTGTGCGTTGTGGTCACATTAGTCATCTATATTATTCAGGTATCTTTTTGCACTAATCTGTGTCAGACCTGAATCGGAATGTGCATCTAGTGTGGAATCGGAATCGGGTAGTGTTTATAGTTGGCTTGTCTTCTCACTCGCGTGCTTGTCAACCAATCAGGTGACAGAATAGTTTTCGTACCTTGACTCAAGGCACTTGGTCTCACTTCGAAGTCGCGCGTTTCTAGCCTTAAGGTTAAAGCAGCCAGTCTATCTATCGTGTGAAGGCCTTAATCTAGATTTAGGCAAGTTCTTTTCTATATATTAATGGGTAGACAGCTCAAGGACGTAACAGGATTATAGTAATATTCTTACAATTAATTTTGTTCACGGTTAATTTTGTCAAACTCTTCAATTAATTTATTTAACAGAATGTGTTACTCGAACAGTAATAATTCGTATATTCCTTCGTATTATCACTACGTGTTTGTACAAATGTGTATGCATAATCACATGTGACAGCCTACATACATATATCAATCTACCTTAATTGCTTATTGCTTAAATATCACTCGATGATTCATTCTCTATCCCAGATATACATGTGCTCGAATCTTATTAATTGTTCTTGACTTGCTTCGCTTCGCCTTTATTCGATTTGACTCTAAATCCGCCTCTGTGTTTGCTTACTCGCGCGCATTAACTTCTCTGTTCCGATTCTCTCGATGTGCTTGTAACTTTGTTATACTGTAGATGCCGTTTCGTATTGCTTTCTGAATTCATGCATCGTTGGGATTTTTTTAATAACGGTTATCAAGGTGATTGATAAACGAGATCTAAAGAATTATATCGAGGCCAAGCCACTACAGGATAGTTTCCGTTTCTCATTCTTTCTTATCAAAGTCTAATTAGTTCATGGATCATTATGTCATAGAACTTATTAGTTTAGTCCTTAACGGTAAAGACTGAGTTAATTTTATTGTTATCTTCAATGGGACTCAGCTCGCAAACTAATATATTGTCCATTCCAAGTTTGTCTTCTGTATATAGATCTTTATAATCAATCATCCAACCTTTTTCTTAATAAGACATCGCTCCTACTGTGAACTTAAGTGGTTTGTGACAACTATTGAATCAGTAAGTACATTGAAGGTACATCGTGAAAGTAGTCTTCAAATAGTAAAATCTTGGGAATTAAGTATCAGTATTTCCTTTCAATATGGTCAAATTCATTCACCTATATGTTCAAATAGCGTTTTGGCATTTTAGCTGGTGCCAGTTCGTGATGAAAACTCTAACCTTAACCATCAAACCTAAGTCACAATTCTAACTACGCACACTGGTTTATAACCATCATTTAGTCCTGATTAGTGGGTAGACATTCTCAAAGTCACTTTAACATCCCTCAAAGGTCGCCAATAAACTATAGTCTCACCTTCATAACCACTATGGCACATAGAAGTACATCATTCTTATAAATCTTCCGGAGGTCATATAGTCTTGGAATACCAAGACCGAATAATCTAAGACGTTATAAATGACAACCAGGGGTTGACTCATACAATATTTTCCTCTCAATTTCATAAAAGTTTAATTTTCATGTAATTACTATCTTGTCCTTTAAATAACCTGTTCTTTTTACACGACTGAGATGTACCTTTTTAAAGGCTCTATTTGTTTGATATACGATTTGATCATCTTTGAATGGCATCCGGATAAAAATATATGTTTTTTCGACTTTCTAAACTTTCATCCTACCACGGTATTCAGTGTTATAATTGTTTGTAGAAACCTAAACTCATTCATTTTCTTGAAGACATCTATTGTCATCTACATTTTCCACAACCTATTTGATTCTAATATAAACATCGCAAAATTCACTAACATGAACAAAGATAGAGTTTACCTTCATCACATGCTAACTCCAACTAAAGATAACAAGTTACATTCAAAAACATGTAACTTGATAGAACACAAAAACTAGCTTCAATTCATTCTACTGGATATTTTTTCCAAAAATCTATACCTCCAACGATGAGGTGTTGTTTGAAAAGAAATTCAAATAAATCATTTTATGCTAGAAATATTTTCAATTTTCAATTGTTTAAATGAATGATATGCATCAGGGTTAAGTGGAATCTTCGAAAAGTAGTTATGTACGAATTTTCAAAAGATTATGTTTTCTTGGATTTTGAACAGAACCTTGTATGACATTCAAACTAATCGATGTTCTTTATGATTCTTTGAATGTTTCATCTGATAAATGGATCAAAATTAGATATTGGATACTGAAATAAGATTGCGTTATTCTAAAACATTGCTGCAAACAAAAAGTAAGAAGTTTCAAGGTTTGCAAGATTTGGAAAACGATTTGGCTATGTCGACAACAATCCGATCGTCAATATCCCAGATAAAATCGAAAAAATGAAATGACTATCACCAAAATAGCAAGTGGAATGAACTTTAAAAATTAAACTCGCACTTATTTGTTTTCAATAGTTGAAATCATGAGTCAATGAAAGCTAGACTATCATGGAAGCCCTGGAAGCACTGGACGGCCGTTTCGTCCTAGTATGAAACTCTTCAGCAGTGCTCACCACTGTATACATTGAACTATCAATACATAATTCAACTAGTGATCAAGTACTTTTTATTTGTTGTGTCTTAGTTGGAACTCTAGATAGTTCTCAAGCTTTTTCAAGTTCTTAATAAACTGTTACGTCATAGTAGATCAATAGTTTAGAGACCAATCTGAATATATAAGAGTCAGTGATAAACATTACTTGAAATGACAGAAAATATTTAGTGTAGATTCTGATAGTGAAACTTTTATGATTCTGACAATTTCTGTTGGGCTTATTATATTAACAATAACTACAATGGTTTTAAGTTTTTAAAACACAACTCACCGAATTTATAGTTGCTAATTGATATATTTACCTTACATCTTAGAGGACTGTGTATTTGACAGGTATATCACAGAATTATGGATGATAATTAATCAATTAAACTACATCGTAATAATACATCTACTAATATGGATTATTAAGTATAGCCATTAGATAATCCCCTCTATACTCGAGTTTAATTTATTCGGATTTAATATCTAACTTACTAACTATTCTTGACTATAAATGACCTCAAACGTTATAAAGAATTTTTAAATTGAGTGTTTTCCTATCATCAGTTCACTATTGCTTACACTTTTGACTATCGAATTCAATCGATATTATGAACCACCTTGAATATATTAACACAAACATACACACACCCATTGATGTTCCAGTTAACTATCTATATCGATCTTAAGCGAACCTACGGAAATGTGTAGAAGGAATTTGATTTCATTCAATCGTAAAAAAAAAGATTGATCGATAGTAAATTTAAAATCATGCTATTAATCAATCGTTGTTTATTGTTAATACTTACGTCATATTATTACTTAAACAAAGATACAACAGTCTACGTGCGTATCTATGAAACAAAGGATGATCAGTATCAAAGAACAGACGGGACATTGGTGTATAGTTATCCATGTTTATAGCAATAATATTTTAATGATGTATTATTGTAAATTCAATCAATAATCCATATTTGAAATTGATTTTTGTTGGTTTAAAACTCTAACAGCAACAATAATAATATTGATAATTTATATGTTTAAGATCAATATATATATCTGTATACATGTATACAAATATGTTCTATTAGCTTGTAACAGTATGTTTAGTGTAAAATATACAACACATCAAATGTATAAAGTATCCTATAGTGATAAAGATTAAGTTTAACTTGTTATTCTAAAAAAATGTAAAAGGATCTGTTTTCTGAGTCTAGTTCACTTTATTTCTAAACTTTAATGATGAAAAGAATAAACAATAGAAAAAGGACTTGTATAGCATAAGGTATTAATAATAATGTAACTCATAGTGTATTTTTAAAGCATAAAGATGTATTTGTTTTACAACGGCATACATAATTTAATGGCAAACTCTTATGCACTTGTGACAGAAAACTGATGGTAATAGGGGGTTAAGCTCTGGAATTGTTTTTCATTGAAAATGAAGTTCTACCCTTAAAATTGAAAAACAAATAGATTGATTAGGATTCATGACCTTCAACAAAAAATAAACTTATTGAATTCTAGTTAATCACTGTAGAATCTAAATTAAGCTTTGGACTGGAGAATAACTGTCTAGGTAGTTTAGATACGCGCTATTGCCCAACTGAAACCAAAACAAGGTGATTGTGTAAATGACACTTCCAGATTTCATCATAAATACAAATGTACATCATTACCTAAACAAATAATACCACTCAGTTATTCAACCGATATTTGTTTAATTAATCAAATCTAAATTACAATAAATCAACAAGTTGATAAAGCATGTTAGAAAATTACCAAACGCAAGAGATAAATTTTATTTTATCCTTTCTGGATAGATCACGTACAGATTTGTTCGAAAGATAATATTTGATTGCTTTATAACACAGAGTGTTTCTAATTCTGGAAGAGTGCCTCAATTCATAATCAAAAATGCAGAATTCCAGTCAATGCAACAACAAAATCAAAAGGAGGAACAAACCAATATGGCTGCCGCGAAGACTAAGTATCAAGTAAAACAAGAAAAATGCAGTTCAGAAAGTAACATGGAAACTCAGTGAAGGCGTAAGAAAAATAAAAACTATGGTAAAATACAAATATTAACATCTCAAATGGAATCAAAAAGACGTAAAGCATGTACAACTGAAGGAATCAATTGGAAGAAATTACAAGTGTATACATGGAGGGATTTTCACACACAAAACCATCAAAATGGATCTTGCAATTACCTTAAATCGTAACTTCTGATACATTTCAGCTGAAATTTTCTCATTAACTTGACAAACTGATACTTTGTTACCGATTATAAAATCGGGATATTTTCTTTAATGACACTATAGCAACTCACGAGCAATTAAGTTGATTCAAATTTAATTTGGTTAAGTCATTTTGTTAACTTATTAACGAACTGAGTCATCCGTACAACAACAACTTATATCATTGTATCTTTATTATTGTTGCGAATGTACGAACATGTATAACTGAGCATTGCTTACTGCCTACGCATTTATTCACGCTGCTAGCCTTACTACCAGTCGCTTAATTGATTCGATGATTCATTCATTTCACTATTTATATATATGTCCATGTTATTCATGTTCATTGCTCTTTATCGCTTAATTGTACTCGCTTACTCGTACTCATATTCACTGACTCACTCGCTCGCTCGCTTGCCTGCTCGCCTTTTGGCGCAAATCTTTCATGCTTGTTTAAAGCACCTGTAATTTTGGATAACTGTGTGGTCCAATAATAAACGTGATCAACACTTCGTATTCGCCTTCTGATTATTATACCGTTGGGGCGTTATCTAGTGATGGTTATCAAGACGAACTGTATACGAAGTTTAAGGATTATATTGAATACCAACCACCACAACACAATCTAAATGAACAATTACAAATAGAAAAATTCACATTTTCAAAATCTTTAGGATGTTCACTGAAGTATTGTGTTTATTAATTCAGTTGTACTGAATACTGATTGATTTTCCATTCTTAAAACCGAATAATTAGGTTCGTCATTTGTTTTGACAGTTTTCACTTTTGAATTTGCTTTTACTCTATCAGTACTTATTTCGAAAATGGAAGGTAAAAACATCACAAATCATTGTTTTCATAACACCTTTGAATCTCTAAAAAATTGTTCACAGTTACTCGAATAAGCTGAAATGTTTAATGAATTTCTAAAACGAATGTGATTCTTTTTATTTTGTTCAAACTTTTATTAATTTCACAGAATAATAAATAAGAACAGTGTTAATATCTAACTTCAACCAATCCACGAAGTTACGCCACCGTACACCATTGTCTTCAATGAGTTGATATCTCACAACAGACCTGGTTGGACTCCACTGGTAACGGCTTCTCACTAGAACTCCAGAAGTATCTCTTGAAGTCAGTCACTAGTGAGCAGATGAATATTATCAGAAGGGGTTTAGCTTCAACTGACTCATGATTTCAATCAGTGAAATATATAAAATCTCCACAAAACCCCTTCTGAAAATAAAATATATGACTGAACAAAACAGCATAAAGAGATGTAATTTGATAAACCTGTATTATATATCTGCTATTTGTGTTAAACAGAACGTAACCTTATCCCATAATAGACATAAAAGCTGATCAATACCATAAAGGAAATTAACAATTAAAAGACTGATGGTTCTAATATGCTCTGTTCTCATTCAGATTTCTTCCTTTCCCTTATAAATGTATTCAAGACATCTAGTTCATTTTCTTATTTGACTACTTTACCGTCTTTAAAATGATATACAAATAAAGTTACAAATAATCTGAATTACTAATGTACATATGAATAGTCTAGATATTCGACTCAGTAATGTAATATTTTTACAAAAATGTCATATACGTTGTTAAGTCAAACACCCATTCTACGTATAATAACATTTGATAACCATATGGTACACTTTTTTGTACATAGTTTACACTGGCAACCATGAAGTAAATTTATTAATTCTGAAATTAAAATTGAGCATTGAAGGTAAAAAAAAAAGTAAAAGCCAAATCTGTTGTAACGGGTGACTACAGGTTACGATAAGCAGCGTTTTATATCGATCGATTTGGTGTGACGTAAATACGCAATGGACGACCTAGAGTCCCGATTGACCCTGCTTCCCTGTCTAGCCCAGCCAGTTGAGTCCAGAACGCAGGTCACAGCCTCTGAGATATGAATCATTATATTTCAAGCACACCCTGTTTATATACTAACTAAGCAGACCACATCGTACCATAAAAATAGAAAACAACATTTACACAATATTAAACAAGTGAAGTAAACATCGACCAATAGGAAATGAACATTTAACGTCCAAGGACAACATTCGACTTAACATGATAACTATTGGTATATTTTTCTGCACATCCTAACAAAATCAAACTTTAACATCTTCTAAACTTCCAAGCCGTCATTATCGTGAACTACATGAAATATAAATAAACTGAATATAACTGAAAAGTACTCAAAAGAGGTACCACTAAAAATACTCTGTTCCTGTAAAATAAAATGATGTAATCCATAGAACCGGTATTTCGAATTATTCACTCCAAATATTTATATAAATCTAACTAGAATTAACTCAATAAACACAACTGTTTACTGTTACTTTCTATTTACATAACTGATATATTAAACGTAAAAGACTTAAATACAGAGCTACAATAACTTAGGTTTGTGGTTAGTGATAATTACTTACTATTAACAACTATTCATATTTCCTTCAGTATTTAAGTGAATCCAAGCATGGAAATGTTGAGTCGGCTTTCCGAGAACTGCAGCGGAGCCTCCAGAAGAGTCGAAGAGTGCTAGCCAATCAGAGCATGATGAAGCTTTCTAGAATATCAACGTGGCGTGATACTATTGATCAGTAGCACAATATGTCCTTTAGCGGATTGGCCAAAATATGATGTTGATTTAACAAATGTTAACATCTATA